CCCCAAAACCCCAAAACCCCAAAACCCCATCAAACAAGGGTTTAATTGAAAGTTGTTCTGACTTCTCATGGGGATACTACACTTCTAGCTGTCTATATTCTCCTGACTTAGCTAAATTAGAAAGTCTCCAAATGATAAAATATTCAGTCAATTTAATACAATAAACTGGTATTTTATCTCAGTGATAACTTTATAAACACCATTGACGCAAGGATGTACATACAAATGCTTCTTTATCAAACACAAAATCCAAGCTTAGCTTGGATTATAACAAGTAAAATTAGCAAAGTAAAACACTCTTTTTATGGATTATTTCTTGTAATTTTGAGGTTTTATACTACACAATCTAGACTCTACGATCCATATCCAAATATACAGAAAAGTTTGAAAAGTTTATGTGAAATTATAGTTGGAATTATCTACATTTCTTCATCAACATTTGAAGACCATTCGCTAATAGTTATTTCTATCTCAGAAAGTTTTTGTTCGGACATATCTTGGTCCTGGTCTTGGTTCTGGCTCTCCTCTTGATCCTCCTCTATCTTGTTGTACTCATTTTTGCTGTACTCATTCTTGCGTTGCTTAATTAGGGCTTGATATTCGTTTCTCTTGTATCAGAACTTACTGATAACCTCAGGGAATTCACAAGCTCTGAATTTATCAATTCCAAGGATCTCTTGGAGATCTGGCCGTGACCTAAAGTCGTAATGAAGCCACTTTTTATTTAGAGTGGCTAAACCTCTTCTGCTTCAGAATGCATAAAAATGCCTCATAAAATCATCGAAGGTAGCTTTCTCTGAGTAGTCATTAAACTTCTGGATCGAAGGATGTAAATAGAATATCTGGGAATCGTTAAAGAGAGATTTAAAGAATGGCTTCGATTTTTGACGGAAGGTGTGGTTGAAAGAGTAAGTAGGGTGGGTTGACTTATCATTGTCGTAGTCTGGAGGAGGTTTGGTTTGGCTAGCTTGATGTTCTGTGGAGGACTCTCAGTATTTCGAATAGGTGGATTCTGATAAGTTTGAGCTGGTTTGTGATAAATCTGAACTGCAGTCACATGAATTTAAGCTGAATTCTTGTGTGTTTACGCTAGATCTTGATGAACTGTATTTTGTGAGGCTGTTTAGACTATATATACCATTAGAGCATAATTATCAGTATAGTACCTAAATAATCCCAAAAAAAATGCACACCTCAAGCTTCTCTCAAGCCCCAAACCCACTATCTAATCCTCCTCAGTTTCAAAATTTTCACTCTCTCCAGCCCTAACAAAAATCTTCTGCCAAGGCTCCGCTTGGATCTGGTCAAAATGTATCCCAAATGTATTTATCTGGTGGTGGCAGTAATGGCTTCGGTAGAATTAAAATTGATTTGGCAAGTTTAAAATTTCGAAATTTTTGACAGTTTACAATAAAATTTTAGAGAGTGAAAAGTTAACTAAGCAAATTTTATAAAGGGATTGAGAGGAAGGCGTGAGTAAGGTCTAGTAGAGTATAGAGGAAGTTACCATTTTACAGACTTATTTTTTAAGTTTTCAGGCTGCAAAGGTATTTTAAACATTTGCTACAGCATTAGACTCGTCGATTTCGCAAGTAGTAAGGTTTAAATGAGAGTCTGAGAGGGAATAATTAGGTGATTTCTGTGCACAAGTAATGTGAATAAACCCATGTTCAAGGAAGAATATCAACACTCCTGTCCGTCTATTGCATAATATTCAAGTCATGTTCTGGATCTTTTGGCTTCTAGTTAGATGTTCAAATGGAGAATATAAGGTACTGGTAAGTAACTGACTGAATTGGGACAGATCAGGTCGATGGTAAGTTCATCTTTCACAGAACCATTTCCACCTCAGATTATGAAAGTTATTCAATGATCCTTTATGACATGATACATGAACTGTTACTTTGCAAAGATATCATTGACTCATCTCTAAGTCTACATGGCTATCATCTCCTGATCATATAGCTCAGATTTTAATTCCATTATCTTCTTTATCCTATGTTTTGATTAATTGAAGATTCTTACCTCTTTTGGGTCTTGAAGAAGGATCTCAACCAGCTTCATTTCCTCCAAATCACTAATCTCTTTCTGATCAAGGGGGATATTCTGGTTCTTTTTGTATATAATTTCTGCATTGTACTCCATTGAATATCCAAGAGCAATAAATGTTTCTTCTTTTAAGCACTGAATTTTTATGGGAGTGATTTCTTCATATCAAAATCCTTTTCCACAGAAAGTATTCTGCCCCATTTTCTCAAGATATTTCAAGTTTTTCTGCTGCATCAGGTCTAAGATTCTACAGAGTTAGGCAGTAAATTATACCGTTGACGATGAGGCTCAGTTAAAGATTGAAGTTTAACCATAAAGTCTTGGAATACCTCATGTGAGATTTCATATGGATTTATCCCTGAAGAGTTGTCCTCTTCATATGGCAGGAAATAAGGCACTTTTGAGGAGAAGTCAGAATCTTGACAAGTACTTCTAAGTTCATCGGAGCTATCATTCTCTTTGATATACCCGCCATACTTGAAAATCTTTGGGTCAATGTTGTATCTTAGAAGGGATTCTCTCTTACAAGGAAGCAGATCATCACTTATTTCTTCAGAGTCAGTACCACTGTCTGATAAGAAAATTGGTTCACTTTTATGAGATTCTTGAGAAAGCTGCTTTGCCTCCACCTCGGATTTTAGACTTTGAGAACTCATTCCAGAAGTTGATCATGAATCTATATAATTCTTCTCATCTTCTTTCATTAATGCATCAATAGGATTCTCTTGAGAGTTGATTTCTTCCTTGCTGGTTTTGATAAAGGAGATCCTACGGTATTCTTTTATAGTTATCGGCTCGACTAGGTCCATCTGGTCTGTCTCTTGGTCTACCTCTATATCAATGATTTCGAAGGAAACATCTGAAGAGGTATCTGAAATGTTTGCGCCTTTATCTGGGTTCAACTCAATTTTACTAATGGGCTTGTTTATGAACTCTGAAGGGTCCTGGTTCAACATCTCTTTATACAGCTTATTGCTCTCCATGGCAAAGAGGGAAGTGTTCGCGGTCAGAATTTTGGATTTTGATAATGGGTCATCTTGCGACAAATTACTCAGATTTATAATTGACATCTTCTATTGTGAAGTTATGCTTGGGTAATTTATAAAAACAGTATAGTGTTAGGGCTCATATTTCTAAAACCTGAGGAAATAATCGTTCAAAATAATTAGTATTAAGGATCTAAAATTTGCTTTAATTTATGATGGAGATTTGTAAAGAATGATATAGATTTCAAAGTTAAATTGCCTCTAATTATTTTCTTCTTCCACTGCTAGTACAAATCTGTCTTATTTCTTCTTACCTAAATTTCTTGGGTGCGAACTTCGAATCTTTCAAAAATAAGAATTCAACAAATTGATAGCTAAATTTGTATTTTTAAAGTGTGATTCAATTAGCCAATTTTTTAGTGGGGTTTTGGGGTTTTGGGGTTTTGGGG